CGCAGCGGTGGGATGTGATACGGCGAATGAGGATGTTGTCCCGAGCTCTGCTCCCGGCGGTGGACCTCTCTCTGATACGGCGGACGCGTTCCCATGAGCCAAAACACAAACAGCGTGAACCAGCACACGGATAGGCAACAACGGCTCACCCCGAGCTTACTAGTCATGGTGGCTTGACCGGAGGCTGCTCGAACGGACCTGGCCACGCGCACCCGGCAGACTTTGCGACGGCAGCTATGGTGAGACTACGGCGGCAGCGGAAGGTAGGCCGTAGCAAGGTGAACTAGGGTGCGCACGTGGTAGAGTGGAGTAGGGCGAAGGTGCAGTGACAAGCAATTGGACAGCAATGGACATGGATGCGGGGAATTTCTCGGCGCGGCTGTGGGTCTTAAAACGACCGACAACGACGGAACTATCCAATTAAGCATGGCAAAGGCCGGCAACAGCAGTGGACGCATTCAGCGTGCGGCTAAGTACTCGCTCCAACCCAAGGCGCCATCTCCCTGCGCTGCCCTGGCGCGGCCCGACGATGGAGGACTAGGGGAAGGTAGGCACGCTGGCCTGGCGCTGTCACCGCAGAGGTTGGCAGGGTAGGGGGGACATTGACGTAGCGTGGCAGTGGACATGGATGCACTGGCGAAGTGCGTAGCCATCCCACGCGCGCGCAGCTGCGCGGCATCAACGGCAATAGTGCCGCGTAGGCGATGCCCGTGAGCGCGCCTGGCAAGTGGCGACACCAGCTCGACGAGCGGTGGCGAGCGGAAAGGCGCACGTGGATGCCACTACGGCCAGAACAGCCGGTCCACCGGCGCAGTGCGCGTGCGTGAGCGTGGTGTGTCGTGCAGCCACGGCAGCGCGAGCTACAGCACGGGACCCGGTGGCTTGGCCGATGCGTGCAAGGGCAGGGCATGGGCAGACGTCCTAGGCGCGGCATGATAGCAGCGACGATGCGAGCTACGCGCCAGCACATGGTGGCAGGAGGCCGAGGTCCGCAGTGCAAGGGCCATGCGCGCGCGCACACGCCTAGGCGCGGCAGTGGGAGTGCAGCTAGCGCGACAACACGCGCTGGCAAGCAAGCAGCGGTGCCAGGCCAAGCAGGGGGGTGGTGACCATGCCCGGAAATGGACCATGTGCCGTGCACGCTTTTTAAAGCGGCCAAAAATTCAAACCCGAATGCTACAACCGCCAAACCAGTTGTTCTACTCAGAAAAGGGTACCTAAGGCTAGCCAATTGTGCCAAAACACCTCGCCACTTCTTAACCCAGTCACTCTACAAACTTTGCCGAACAAGGCTTCGTCGACCCCTTTTCAAACTTACGCGAATGATTTAAACCTCGAACGGTTTCACGTCGAATTCCAATTCCGACCTACTAGGTATACTAGCTAGCAATCCTCGTCCTCGACCATACCTATTTCATCATTGCCTATGAAGTACGTACTACAAACCCTATCAAAGCTCGCATAAACGTGCTATAGCATTTTTGTTCGATAAAAATTTGCTTAGAGCACTAAACGATATTTTGCGACATGCAACGTCACATTTATTTCTTATTTCGCATAGACGTTTCAAGCGCCGAACATCGATTTATACTTCATGTTATACACTATTGCACATAAATATGATGCTCATGCAGCGGTTTAGTAAAGACAGTACAATGTAACACCGAGGGTGTTATAGAATCAACCTGTAGAGAGCACTTGATCCTTGCGCGGATTAAGGGGGAGCTACACCCTTGCGCAGGTGCTCCAACGAGGACTAGTGGGGAGTGGCGACTCTCCGATACCTCGGCAAAACATCGCCGCATTCCTCCTTCTCTCTTTACTTTAAGCATTTACTTTGAGCAATTCAATTCTTATCTTTACATTCATAGAATTGCCATACTAGAGTAGGATTGGAACTTAGGTTGTAAAACTTTTGTGCGGTAGAACATTAGAAACACATTCTAGGCACAAGGGGTGAAGTGGGCTAAGTGTAGGGTTTAATTATTGCAAAGAATTTTAGAATTAGCCCAATTCAGCCCCTCTCTTGGGCATCTTGATCCTTTCAAACATGGTCTGCATAAACAAGTGAAAAATGACTCATGATTCCAGAAAAACATCTTCTTCATTACATAGGACTTGGATGTCATTACAACACATGCTTCACTTGCTAATAAGCACTACCACGACTAATTGAAATCCATCATGTCTGCCGCATAACTCACACACAACCAGCCAGACACACAAGAGCTAACTCACACACACATTGGCTAACTAACAGACATTAGTTGTTCACTTCCACATACAGGCAACCACAACACCAATCAGGATACCTACAAAGCCCACAAAAAATAGAATAATCGATCATAATTTGCTTCGTCTCAGGCTTTGGCTCATGAATCGGCTCAGGAATCGGCTCTGTAGGCTTCACCTTCAGTTTCTAAAGTTCAACTACAACACTATCAAGTGTTTGCTTCAACTCTTGCAATTCTGCTTTCAATTCAGAGCAACAGTCACCTGATGCCTCCTTCTTAGCCTTTAGTCGGTATTCTTGTGCTTCCAACTTCACATTCTGCACCTCAGGCCGAATGTAACCACAGGTAGTTGGATCACCCTGCACCCTGCACTCAAAACACATCAATCAGAGCAACAACAAGATACACAATGAGGTCACCAATGTCAAGGATCCTTACCTTGATGTTATACGGGCACTTGATATACCACTCGCCCAAAGTTGTCGGCTGCTTGCTCTAGATCCGGACCAATGGAACATGGCAAAAGGGGCACTCACTACTATCGCTACCCGTTGCACACGAGCCCACCGAGGTTACCTTTATCGGGCTTCCAGTCTAGTTCCCAGCCTGGCACGGATGCATCGGGGCGGCGGCCGCAGCCTGGCGTGGACGCGGTGGGGCGGCGGCCGTGGCCTAGCGCGGAAGCAGCGGGGCGGCGACTGCGGCGTGGCGCGGACATGGCGGCGGCCTGGCGTAGACTGTCGGGGTAAGGACGCCTGGTGACGCGTGGCCTGTCGACGGCGGCCTGGCGTGGACGGGCGGCGGTGGCCGGCGTCGGGCTCCCGCCCGAACACCAGTCGAGACGGAGAGAGAACGGAAGAGAAAGGAGAAATTGCCTTGACCGTGAGAAGCAGAGCAAGAGGATAAGGTAGAAGGAGACAGAGGTAAAACGGACACACCTGATCAAAAAGAAGAGATCAGAAATTTATAAAGTTAAAAAAACACAAAATGACAAAATAATGTGAAACACACTTTTGGTAAGGCGAAGCCCACGAACCTAACAGCATCCTAGCAAAGCCCACTCAGCCTCCGTCCAGTTCACATCACCGCACAGCAGCGCGGCACCGCACCATACTGCCCACAGCGCTGCCGGTCATCGTTGTCTTCCATCCTTCTCCACCCCGCAGTGCCGGTCGTCGTTGTCTTCCTTGACCGAAGGGGCACGAGCACCACCGCCTTCATTCGTGCCCTCCTCGCTTAGATCCGGCCGCGGCAGATGTCCTGGTGGCCGAGGAGGCGGAGGGCCTAGTGACCGAGGAAGTTGGGGCTGCAACGTTGACGCGTCGTCGGAGTCACCGGCACAGCTTCTGTGCCCCTGCCAGCAACTGCGAGGCGCCCCTGCAGCTGCCTGGCCACCGATGTCCTCGGCACCCCTGCGCCGCTGCGGCAACCCGCAACCGTGAGGAGTGCACCGATGCCACTAAGAAGCGGCAGGGAGGAGGAGGAAGTGGTGGAGGCCTGCGTAGCGGGACCGGCGTGTCCCTGACAGCACCCCCGCGGACGCCACTGGGAGCGGCGCGGCAATGGCGGAGTGCGCGGCGGCGTGCTGCATGCTCTGCGCGTGCCTCCCTGTGGCCGTGCTTTGCTGAGTGGCGCGCGCCCCGCTCCGCGTCGCGCGGCGGTGCTGCGGCAGGTGGTCGAGGCGGCAGCTCACGCTGGGGGATCCTCGTCCTTCTCGGACGCCAAGGTCGGGGAGTTCCTGCAGGGTGGTGCCGGTGTTTCGATCTGCTCGGCATCTTTCCTCGCTCTATTTGCTCGTTGTCGGCTTTGTTTAGCTCAATCCAGAAACTAATTTTGGTGAAACCAAATGGTTTTATCACGCCGATCTTACCAATGCATTGTTCATTTTTTTCCCCTTATTATACACTGCTCAATCACACAAAGAGCTGCATTATCACTTCTACCTCTAATCATTTTGCCGAACAAAAAAACCAAGATTATTTTCCTCCTTCAAATAGGCTACATTAACACTGATACGGCTTAGGGGTTCAACTGTCCAATGGAAACTCTGAATGCTTCACCATGGCCACTGATGGCCACTGGTGGTTCTTGCTTCACCATGGCCGCACCGCTGCTGCTGTTGGCAACAATGGCAGCTGATGAGGTGGTGGCCGTAGCAATGCAATCGCCTGCGCCGCCGCCGGGGCAAGTGTGCTTGCCGTTGTAGGTCGCCGGTGAGGATGCCCCGTCACTTGTTTGACAAAGGCGTAACCCTACCCATTAGTACTCTATCGAATCAAACCAGACAACAAACACACGGCTAGCTACAGTATCGTTTTGTTTTTATTTGTTAATAATTGTCCAATCGTTGACTAATTAGGCTCAAAACGTTCGTCTCATAAAGTACAACAAAACTGTGCAATTAGTTTTTGATTTCGTCAACATTTAGTACTCCATGCATGTACCGCAAGTTTGATATGATGGGGAATCTTGTTTTTTATAGAGCCAAAGTTTAGAAATGGGGAAACTAAACATGGTCTGGCTCACCCAGCTTTCTTGGGCGGCAAATCCGAGAGCGCTGACCAAGAACAGGGGGTAGCACCAGAGCACCGTCTCCACGTGGAAAAGTGCAGAAGGAGGTGGGCCGGCGAGACACAGCCGTCCATCGCGATCTCGACGGCTACGAAGTGACCATTATTTCCCAATCGGCCCATTCGGCCCCGTCTCTTTCCCCACCAACCACCTCCAAACCTCCTCTCCATTTCCAATTTCCACGCCGCCGCCAACATGTCCACCTTGGCCGCCGCCTCCATCACCGCCGCGTGGACCACCCTATCCTCCGTCAATCCCCGCCGATCGTCTTCTACGGTCAGTTTACCATCGTCCCTCCGCCGGTCCCTTCCCAGCAGGCTCTTATCATCGTCACCCTCGCGCTCTCAGCTCGTGCCGGTCTCCTCCATGGACTCTCCCGCCTCCGCCGCCTCCGCCTGCGAGACGGCGTCCAGGAAGAAACTCATCATATTCGACGCGGAGGAGGACCTCGCGGCGTCGCTGTCCAAGCACACGGCGGAGCTGTCGGCGAAGTTTGCGGCGGAGAGGGGCGCCTTCACCGTCGTGCTCTCCGGCGGCTCCCTCGTCAAGTCCCTCAGGTTCCGGATGCGCCTCCGACCGCGAAGTTCTTGGTTTTCGGATCCTGGGGTGTGCGTTAGGTTTTGACCTTTGGGTTTCATAGGAAACTTGCTGAGCCGCCGTACCTGGAGGCGGTGGATTGGAGTAAATGGCATGTGTTCTGGGTGGATGAAAGGGTGGTGCCCAAGGATCACGCGGATAGCAACTACAAGCTCGCCTCAGATGAGTTCCTCTCTAAGGTACTCACTTGTTTAGTCAAATTCAGAAATCTGTTTCGATTGTGAAAGCTGGAGGAGGGTTTCTGTTGATCTGTTACTGTGCAGAAATGGGGTCATGATCTGTTTTGAGTGATGGAGAATGGAAATGTGGGAAAAAAATTCTTGAATAAATGTGGAATTATTTTGGGTAGATTATATACATTTTTATCTGCTTGTTTTATCTCATGATGTTAGTGATATATCGGGATATTTTGACTATGATGAACATTGAGCAAAATGTAGATTTTGGAGATAGTGAGTTGTCTGTCCGGGAAGTCTCTCAGGGAAAAAAAATGGTAACGTTTGATTAATAGTTAATACAGTATATGTAGCGCTGTAGGTAGTATGCATTCTCATCTTAAAACTAAAGTACATTCCCCTGTCTGCCAAATGTGTTATGTATGTTCGAATTCAACTTGGCGCATATAGTAGATTTCACACAGAAGTTCATTTCTATACTCATTCTCATATATATGGCCTGCAGAAACTTTTTGTATCTTTGTTCTACACTGCATATCAGTTTCAATCTTTGTCTTCCTACAACATAGGTGCCGATTCCTGCTGACCAAGTTCATGCCATAAATGATGCACTGTCATCCGAGGGTGCTGCAGAGGACTATGAAACTCGTTTAAAGCAACTTGTCAAGGATGGTGTGATTGAAATGTCACCGGTGTCCGGGTTCCCCAATTTCGACCTTATGCTTATGGGTATGGGGCCTGATGGCCACATTGCTTCACTCTTCCCTGGCCACCCTGTTGTCCATGAAAACGAGAAGCGGGTCACCTTTGTCAAGGATTCTCCGAAGCCACCGCCAGAGAGAATAACCTTCACTTTCCCAGTGATAAATTCGTCCGCACACATCGCACTTGTGGTCACCGGTGCCGGCAAAGCTGGTGCTATTCATAAAGCACTTTCAGAAGGGCAAAATACATCTGATTTGCTGCCTGTTGAGATGGTGTCCCTTCAGGATGGGGAGCTCACTTGGTTCACTGACAAGCCAGCGGTGTCAATGTTGTCGAGCATTTGAAGCCCAGGATTGTAAAAATCTGAAACTTTCATCTGAAGGGATTCATATACCATTGATGGGAATCCATTTAGGTTTGGCAGGAGATTATGAGGTGTTTATGTATTATATAAATTGTGCCGGGGAAATTTGTCTTGGATTACAGTATCTACCAAATAATATGAGGAGAGGTAGAGGAAGACTGAAATTGACATGGGGGGCCATAAAAAGAGATTTGAAGGCTTGTGATATACCTAGAGATCTATGTTTGAATAGGAGTACTTGGAAAGCAGCTATTGAAGTTACTGAACCGTGACTTGGGGCTCTTGGTTGGTTTTAACTCTAGCTTACCCCAACTTACTAGGGACTGAAAGGCTATGTTGTTGTTGTTGTTGTTGTTGTTGTTGTTGTTGTTGTTGTTGTTGTTGTTGTTGTTGTTGTTGTTGTTGTTGTTGTTGTACAGTATCTACCAAATAATGATCATTTATGGTTTTCTATTTGGTTGAGCATTACAGTGTCTACCAAATATGTGCTTGTAAATGTTATCTAGCACGTGAATCGCGATGTTTTATAATTCATCCAAGGAACATCAGACGAAGAGGATTTTTACTAGTATTTGCACTTGTTAGCACACATCTGTTTCTCTGGGATTTTAAGCACAAGATTTTTGGTGTTTAGTAATTTATACCATGAAATTCATGTATATCTGTAAAAAAGTTAATGTTAATTACTTAGTTTTTGTGTGGTGAAATAACTGGAACGGCTACTTCTTGTTAGAGCGGCAAGCTGTATGTATTATGGAAACATGATTCTGAATCGTATCAACTTATACTATGACAAGTTTAGCATATTCATGCGTCAAGAAGCATGACACCCCTCCTACCTGAACACAGATATGCATGGGATCTCCTGCATTTCCTTCCTGACTGGGTAATGCTTGGTTGAGGATGTCCGGATGGACCGTTACGCTCAATAAAAAAGGGGCATAGAGTTACAGTCAGGCAGGGTCCGCACCCTGGAAGCGCGTGCGGGCGTGCGGCCACTCGTTCGGGGTGTATGCGGCGTGTGGGGCTTGTACATGCGCGTGGAGAGAGGATTGCCTGCTGCATCCGTTGCTTGCTGGACCAACCGGCCAGGCCTCTAGCCGCACGTGACCAGGGTCGCAAGCCTCCTTGCCGCGCCTACCCTCTGCTGCCTAGCGCCTAAGCTTGTTGTTTGTCGTGCTGCTCTTTTTTCTCTCTTTATATTGTCTGCGCCTAGGCCAAGTTGCCCCTGCCGCGTTGCTGCTTTGGCCGACCGGCTTAGGCGCTTAGACAGTTGCAAGGCTGGCCTGGCCGCTTGCTTGTTTGTGAGAGGGGCGGGGGCTCACATCTGCATGGCAGCTGAGTGATGGCCCAATTTTTCTGTCACTTCATGGCATTTAGCTCCGTATGTTTTCATGCGTTCCAGATGTATGTTTCATGTGTTCCAGATGTATGTTTCATCTAGACGTTGCATATGTTTCATCTGAATGTTGTATATGTTGCAATGGCTATACACGTATATTGCAAATGTATGTTTCAGCTGTTTCAAACGTATGTTGCAAGTGTTTTGTCTGGATGTTGCATATTTTATCATGGCTATACACGTATGTTGCAAGTATATGTTTCAAATGTTTCAGCTGTTTTAAACGTATGTTGCAAGTGTGTTTATCTAGATGTTGCATATGTTACACTAGCTATACACATGTTCCAAGTGTATGTTTTAAATGTTTTAGCTGTTTCAAACATATGTTGCAAGTGTTTTGTCTTGATATTGCATATGTTTAAATGTTTCATTTTGTTTTGGACATATGTTGTAGCAAATGCTTTTATATTGCAAGTGTTGCATGACCAGACGCGGAAAGTGGGCACAGACGGAGGTGGTCCCCTCACGTGCGGGAAGTGAAGGGGACACGGCGGCCCCCACATGCATGCTTGCGCAGCGTATGCGCATCCGTAAGTAGTGGGGGCGGAGACAACAGACACACGGAAGAAGAATGCGGCGGCGACGACAACAAAGAAGCAGCCATGACAGACAGTGTGATAGCAGCATGTCGGCGGCGTGGGCAGGAGCTGCATGCCTAAACAAAGTGGGAGGTAGAGGCGTGGTGCACGCGTCCCTTCATTGGCCGCATGCATCCAGGGAAGTGCGTCATGTTGCGTCGTTTTCCTGCCGCATGTAGAAAGAGCACGTCAAAGCGCGTGGGTATCTGAGAGAGGTCATGTTGCGCCGTTCTGCGCCAGATGCGAGCACAGAGGCGTCGAACACGAGGCGAGCGATGAAACACGGGCATCACGGACGGCCGTCGTGTTCAGACATCAAGGCGCTAGTTTTTCCCTTCGGCCGCGTTTAGTTTTGGCCAGAGTCGGCGCCGGCTGAATTCGCAGCACTGTAGCTACACTGTAGCGTTTTGTTTTTATTTGATAATAATTGTCCAATCGTTGACTAATTAGGCTCAAAACGTTCGTCTCGCAAAGTACAACCAAACTGTGCAATTAGTTTTTGATTTCGTCAATATTTAGTATTCCATACATGTACCGTAAGTTTAATGTGACGAAAAATCTTCTTTTTGCATAGTGTCAAAGTTGAGAGTTTTGGTGAACTAAAGGCCTTCGTGTTTCTCTCCATCTCTCGACTCGTATTGTATGCATCAGGTACCACGTGAGGTGCCAAGATACGTGAGGCAGATGCATCTGGCATTTCCGCGTGTCAGGTTCAGACACCGCACTTATCGCTGCATGCCTGCGTAGCTCTGACCATGCAGACAGACAACTTCATCAGAGTCGTGACCACGAGTCAATTGCCCCCCGGCGCCGGCAGTCTCTGTAAACTGGAAACAGAGGGGACAATGGAGGGAAAACTACGCGATAACCTTATTAATAACTCCTGGATTCCCAAGTTCATGTGACACGCCACGAGCGATCACATGAACACGCAGGGGGAGAAACAGCCGAGAATGTCCTGCCATTGCCAGAGGGACGGACGTACGGTCGCAAAGAATCCGCCGAAAAGACGACACAACACAATGCCAAAAATTGCCAAAAATGGCGCGGCAATAGGCAGCGGCGGATCCAGGAAATATTTTGGAAATTTAAACAACACGCCGCTTTCGATTTTAAGCCTCACCCCCTACACTATATAGAACTTTATAAATTATATAGGCTTGCAAGAATTTGCACTGTTTTTTGGATATAGGCCCCCCCCCCACACCCACCCACCCACAGCTGGATCCGCCCCTGGCAATAGGGACTCGTCGAATACTCTTTTGGGCACGTTCGGTTGCTACGGAATGATCTCCAGGATAGACTTCTGACTAGATTGCTTTGTTAATTTGAATAATCATCGTCAGCAGGACTGGTTCCTGGGCTCGTTCCGGAACAACCGAACGAGCCCTTAGTCTGACCATGCTTTGTGCTCGAAAGTCGGAAACGGGGCGTTCTCTGCCGGAGAAACGGCGGCGAGTGCACATCTCATGGTGGGCCCAAAGTAACGAGCCAAAATCATGCTGTTCGGCGGTACTTTAATGGGCACAAATGCACAAGATCGGGTTGACTGTGTCATTGCATAGCATAGTAGTACAATCAACTTGAGTTTATTTATATTTGTATTCAAATTTCGTCAACTCGAGATCGCGTGTGGTGAAGTCCTTGAAGCTGTGATGAAGTCTCCGGTCGTGTCGTTGAAGTATTTTTCTCTGCAATGACCAAACGCGGATAGATGATGTGGGTTCAGTTGACCGCATCCACCACCTATAAAACTCTGTGTAAATGTAACACCTTCGATGTTACACCCTAAATAATTTATTAAAACATGTCATAAACATCATACTTATGGGGTAATGCATGTGATGAAACAAATAGGTGAAGTATTTCAATTAAAACGATCAATAAGAATGCAAAACGAAAAGTTACTCCACGATTCATATAATTATCAGGTATGGTTGTAAATCAATTTTTATTGAGTAAAATTACTATAGAACTTATATATGGGGCTTAAATAAAGTTTGGAGTGTGAGCTTTGTAGAAGATGATGAAATACTTGCTATTGAAAAATAACCTTGCTAGCTAATATTTCCAATAGCTTAGAAATACAATTTAAAATAGAGTTCAACTCAAAACTTAGAAAAATTTCTAAGTCTGTTGACAGTTAGACATTGCTATCTTTAGCAAACTATTTTGAGAAATTTGGTTAAAGAGCAATGTAGTGTTATAGCTTGATTAAGTATCCTCATATACCATCTTGAGTGTAGTGAAGACCGTTTATGTTTAGGAGTAACGGTTTGGTCACGGTAGAAGCTTTAAAATCAATGCACAACAAGTTTCCGGTTTGCTTCCTCCGCGTGGACGTGGTCACCGCGCGTCAGTGGTCGACGTCGCCGCGTCGGTGCGCCTTGCGCGCGCCCGCGTGTTGCTGCGCTGGGCTGGCCGTATGGCGTGGGAATAGTTATGGGCGCTACCGTGCTGCCAAGTCCGTCGTGCATCGCGACACGCCTACTGCGCTGCCGTCGCACCCCCGCGCTCGTGTCTGCGCCGCAAGGCTCTGCGCCCTGGCCCGGTTTGATTCTGTGCACGTGGTTGCACCCGCCGTCGTCACGTCATTGATGGCGTTGCGGCGCACGGGCTAGGCCGGTATGAACACGCGCGTGCTCGTTCGCTAGTGGCTTGCTTGTTCGCTAGTGGCTAGACGGGGCCGCTACGGTTACGTCAGCCGCATCCCGCCAAGGCATGTCACAGCAGAGCCCTGGCCGCATTCCACCGTCCTCGCTCTGTCTCCCATCTCTCTGCCGCCGCCGTCGCCTTGTGCGCACGAGTGCGCCAGAGATAGGTCACCTCTATTCAATTCGGCTCGTCCGCACCTCCACCCTCACGTCTCCTCATCGTCCGACCCCGCACCGCCTTGATGACGGCCCGGCCAAGCGCCAATTTGGCGTCTTCCCGTCGGTGCGCCGTTAAGGCCATGACCGAGGGCAGACCTCCCATCCCTCAACCCGAACCCAATTGCCC